CACTATGGAGCGAATCATCAACCTCTCTTCATTACTGTAGGATTACGGTAGGAACTTCGACATGGATTTTAGGTTAGTGGAGGCCATGTTCTGCCTCGGAACAAAGCCAAACAAGTCAGTAACCCTTATACTGTGGCAATAGAAGCCGCCGATTTCAAATATAAAGTTTCCACTTTACTGTGATGTTTCCTGGGTTTTCCCAGGTAAACCGTAATAATTGAATTTCCAGCATTTGTCAGAAATGTGATTACACCGTCAAAAAAGCTAAAAACACTCGTAAAAAGTTGTGTACTGTAATCAGCGTGCGCGAAAACCCTAGTATACAATTTTTCAGATTTTTTGAGAAAAAATTGTTAGAAAGTTTTACGATGATTTTGTGTGCTCAAATATCGTGATCCTACGGTAACGAAAAAAGATAGGAAATTCGCTCCATACTGTAAATCTCAGTTGAAGCCGGCTCTACAAAATGGTACCAAAAAGTCGGCAAAACATATGGAAGCGAGAGAGTTATCAACGATCAAACAGTGTTCACTATTTTTTTGGGACAACCTGTACATAATTCTGTTACGATCTCAGACTTATGTGACAGCTATACTATAGCGTAGAGAAGAGGATTGGAGCGGAACAATAATGTAAAGTATGGCGAACTTTTCATTACCACCTTACTTCCACTAAATCCTCCTGGACATTCTTAACACAATTTTTGCACCAACTAATGCCAGTCAGCATTCCAACATCGTAAGTCTCACGTTCCCCAAGTCTTCCCCAGAACTCGTTTATTTTTTACCCATTCGCATCTTCAGGTGCAAATGGGCAAAAACTGAATGAGATGTCTATCACAAATGTCAGTAGGGTAGGAAATGATGGCGCGCAAAATCTCATTAGGTCTCACCAGCGGATCGTATGGGTTCCAATTAGGAGCATTCAATCATTTTTAAAAGCTCTGGTCTGGCTGGAGACATGCGCGCAAGGTTCCACAAAATGCAGGAACGGATGTTTTCTAGGAGGTTGAAGGCGCAAGCATTAGTTTCAAAAATTTCTAGGTATCTAAGGGTTTTTTGTAAGTGCTTTGAATCAGAGAAAGTCCAGTACCCGCCGTGTTTAGAGGAACGATGAGAATACTGAGTTGACGTATCCAGCCATGAATATTCATTCAATGTGAAATTGGAAAATAAAAGCAAATTTTTGTGTTTTAAAAAGAAAGGGTTGTTAAAGCACTTTTAGCCGTCTACAATCACCCTTATAAACTCTGCCATCTGGAATAATAGAGTGCCCCACCCCCTCCCCCCCCCCCCCCCGCCCACAGAAAATTTGAACTTCACATTGATCTTGTCTCTAACTTGATTAAGAAAATTATCTTTGATGCTGATTTAGTAGATTTTTTACAAAAAGAATCCAGAGAATTGAAAAACTCCTCTTAAAATCAGTATACTGATTTTGTAGAGAATTATTTGTTGAAATCAGCAATTAGGTATAGTTAAATTTATTGAAGGATTTTCCGGGAGGAGTTTTTTATACCTAATATTTGGGAGTTTTTTCTCATTGTCTAAAGGTTCCTACTTGGCAGCAAGAACCAAAAGCAAATGACGATTTCGCTTGAGCGAAAAGGTTTGATGGATGTATGATGTAAAAACGCAGTCGGTGATGATAACAATGACCATCACGCGGTTATACACTAAAGTACAAAGTTTTCAGGTTTCTCACGATACGCTGGTGCGAAAAAAGGGAGATGAATTCTGAGTCCCTACGTTCATTGCATGTACAGTCAAAGTACTCATAATATTAGGTTGGGACTTAAGTGTTGCATGAAATTTAGGAAATTGTTTGAAACTGCTTAGTAATTATTGCATCATGATTCTATTTTCTCGTTGTGGTTAATGTATGTAAATCTTTATTATTTTTGTTGAAAAATTATACTTTGAAAACAATCAAAATCCAGAAAAAATGTTGGAGATTTACAATTTCCCTTAAAGACATTGAACCAGCACAAATCTAACTTACAAGGGAAGTACTTTTAATGGCCGTGGCCTTTTGATATGAAATGCATATCATCTGAAGCGGCTTTGAACGCTGATTTCAAATCTGCTTTCCCTTTCTGCGGAGCGCCCTACTGAACAGAGTTATGGAAGCCTGAAAATCCTATCTTGGGGGGGTGGGGCTCTTTGAGTTTGAGAGCGGTGCTGTGTGCGTCGGTGGTGCAGTGGAGTAATGATTAATTCTTGGCATTGAAGGTGAAAGATCGGCATTCGAATCCGGTGCGGAGCGAACCATTTTGCACTTTGAATGTGAGTTCAAAAACCAGTTTAAATCGTCTGCAGTCACTTACTGTGATACTCCTGGCAAATGTGGCCTAAGGGAAAGACTTTCTGATATAACTGCTTGTAATGAGGCCCTGAAACTACCTGCGTTACCAATTAAACAGGAGTGAACATAATGAAGCATGTTCATTACCATATAAAGCTCAAGAAATGCGCACTATCATTAATCGAGAAAATGTTCTCTCCTGCCTTCAGTTTAATGGGTACTTATGAGCATGAAAATTGCGCGGAGTTTTTCTTCATACGCTGTTCCCGTTGTGAAAAATGTGTGTGTTTTGCCCACTTTACAATTTCGCTTCACCTCTGTACATATTTTTTTGCGGAGAAAACCAAATCTTAACAAGCAAGCGGTTTACCAGAAAGTTTTTCTCCTTTGGATCACGTTTGCTAAGGGTATTACAGTAAGTGACTGCAGACGAATTAGATTGGTTTTTGAACTCACATTCGAAGTGCAAGATGGTTTGCTCTGGACCGGTTTCGAACCAGCGACCTTTCGCCTCCAATGCCAAGAATTAACCATTACACCACTGCGCCGCTAACGCAGACAAAGCCCTCATACTCAAAGAGAGAGAGCGTCCTCAAGATAGGATTTTCAGGCTTCCACAATTCTCTTCAGAAGGCGCTCCGCAGAAATGGAAAGTAGATTTAAAATCAGCGTTCGAAGCTGCTTCAGATGATATGCAGCTCATATCAAAAGGCCACAGCCATCAATAGTACCTCCCTCATTAGTTGAGAAAACTATGTCAAAGACCTAGACTAAAAGTAAAATTAGAATTTGCGGACCTTTTGAATTTTTAGCCATCGAAGTCTTGAGGTAATACACTTTACTAACATTTATTGTAGCGATATGACAACATTGATTTTGGTTAAAACTCTTTTAAAAAGTTCATGGTTTCTTTTACCTAATTTATATAACCTTAAAGTGAATAATTGATTATGAAAGAGATTGAGAAATTTCACAATTTTGTGCAGACTTACGGCACCTTTATGTTATCGAGGTATATGTTCTTTGAAGAAAAATGAGGAAATCCTAAAGTCTATAGGGAAACGGCACCATCATGAACAAACACACAGGCAGGAACTAATCTCAACGACAACATCTCATCGATGCTGGATCATAAATAACCGGATCATGATGGATGTTGTAATATGTGATCGTTGACATGATTACAAAACAAAGCGCTGTTTTTCTTACAGATATCTAGATAGGCCTTAGTAGAATAATTTGAAATCTGCGGTCAAAACAACTTCTACAACCTTACAAGAAAAGATTTTGATTGCATTATGGAGTTGTTGGCTAAAACCCTTTGTTTTTTGACTTTGGCCATTTTTTTTTCAAATATAAGGAATACATTTGTTAAGAAACTTTCTGTTGATCGCAGAACACCCAAAAGAACACATGCCTGACTCCAAAGTATTTTACGATGACTTTCTGAGTCCTTTATGAGAGCTTCCAATTTCTCAGGAAGTGAAATGACATATTACTTCCAATTCATTTGTACAAGATAGCGCTTTATAAAACAAAAGAATCAAAATGTTAGCCATACGATTATGAGAAATCATTTCATTATGAGTATAGTAGCATACAAAAATTTTCTGCCTCAAATCAACCAAGTAATTGACGTTAGAAAAGATAAAGGACTATTTTCTTTGTTGTAGGACGACAAGAGTTGGATGAAAGTCAGTTTTAGATTCAGCAAGCGCTGTACTTCCGCTCATTTAGCGCGTCTTTGAAGTGATCAAGCCACTATGGCACTGCTAGTTACTGAACAATTCCATGGAGGAAAGAAAAATGCACGGCGAAAATTCTTGCGCAAAAATCCCACTCTCAAAAACATTTACGCAAATATTTGATTATCTTCTGTATTTTTTGCATGTAAATCTCGACGATGATGGTTAGAAGAATGTCATATTAGCAGTTCCTGAGCCTAGTCTTTAATACCAAGCAATTGGAGGCTACAGCTATTCATTCGTATGTCGGTACGATCCGCTGCAAGCAATTCACATTTTTCAAGCTTCTGCTGCGCCTGCGCACGACCCATTGCAGTTGGGAAAAGCAACTTTTTATTTGGATTCATCGAACCCAAACCCAAAAATCACTGCAAATATGAGATTGAAAATATGCTCGAATGCTAGGATCTATTACTGACAACATACAAGCTTCGCACAGGATGAAAATTTATTATTCTTTGCACAGAGCCTTGGGCTGGATGGTTGTGGGACGGCATAGTATGGATAAAGCTGTAGATATGCAAGCACGGGATCGAAAGGAAAGTACATAAACTTGTCAAAATGAAGTTCAATTGCTCATTATTTATGCGGTTGATGAGCATAAGTCTCGGGCAAACCTATAGTATAAAGCCTTGTTCCCCAAAAATCATATTTTCGCATTGAAAAAGATCGTATACAATTGCTGTAGGTTTCTGGTTCCAGCAGTGGCACTGTAACAACTTCTAAGTTTTTTTTCTTAACCCAACCTACATATAATAAATATCAAATATCAAAAGGTGAGCTTTTGCCATTTCCCAATTGTGCAAACATTTGCCTAGCATAGTAATTACCATTTGCTAATTTGAAATCGTGATAGTGAGCTGCAGCTAAGTAAATGTTCATGACCTCACTGGAATAGAGCAAACTCCGAGACCTTAAAAGGCAGGTTTGGAGCCTGCACGACATCAAACTATGAAGCTGGTATCATTAATTTCTGCGCTTTTTGCAGTGGGATCTGCACAATTTCGTCAAAGGCTAGGTGAGCAATCTCCTAGATATTTTTCCAGTAATTTTCATACATTCCATGTTGTTTAGATCCCCACAATAATACGCTTGCATGTGCCTGTATATTGCGAGACATTGTGAGGCCTATGGATCCAGGTACAACTGTTGGGACTACAAGTGAGCTTTTGATCTCTATTTCTGTAGCCTCTACTACTGAGAATTAAACACTATCGATGAGTTGAGGATACTGTAGATAAACTGTACCGTCCTTTGAGAACGCGGGATATCCCGGAAAAAGAGTTGTCTTAGCTTATACTTTCAAAAAAGTAACAAGTATAGAAGAAGAAGTAGAAGTAGAAGAAGAAAGGAAGAACAAGAAAGAAGTAAGAGAGAAGAAGAGAAGAAGAAGTATTTTCAGAAGTAGCCTACATCAGTTGTAAAATTGCTCAAAGACTCAAAGAATTGCTTCACTTAATAATTATAATATACCAAAATTTTCAAAAATTCGAACAAGCCCCGTAAAAAAGTTTATATTGGCAATGCTGCCACCCACCTTTCAATTTTGGGGTTACGACCGTTAAATTTTTTGAAGCAATCCATATTCCGGAACGTTGCTAGTCTTTCATTTGCACATCAAACGGCTTCCCTACCCCCTCCTCCCTCCTCCTGAAAAAGTTTCTTAGACCGCCAGTGCTATTTATTTTAGGTTGGAAAGACAAAAATGTCGATTTTCGAGTTTTGTTCCCCTAAAATTCATATTTCTCAGGAATTCAAGCATTTACAAGGCCGAAATGCTGATGATCGAAAATCCAAAGGTGTGTAGTATACAACTGTAGAGGGGCCTAGAACTACTGGGGGTGGAGTTTGCCATTTCTTGTTTCCCTATGTCTGTAGAATACAACCGCATATGTGGCAGGATCCTAGAACTATTGGGGGTGGAGTTTGCCATTTTTCGTTCTCCTTTTCCTGAACTCTAACGAAAAAATACAGTTAGTATTCCAAGATAAAAGCGTATATCTATTACATGCAGGAGCGAGTGAGAGATTCGTAGGAATTTTTGGGCAAAAATTTTTGGTATTATGAGTTGTTCTAATGTTTTAAGTCTAAATGTTGAGTAAATCATGACTTCAGCAAATGTTCGTAAGTCGTGTTGTAGAGATTACTTTGCTCTTTCGAACAGTATCTCTACCCTGAATTTGTCTTTTACTTTGCTATAGAAAACGACATTCTTTTCTTTCCAAGCTTAATTCTGCGATAATACCTAATTTAATGATAAATAGTGTGGCCTTAAAAACTTGAGGTGTTTTTTATTTCGAGGATCCTTCTCTAACCCTTGGTGAATATAGATAACGAGGATTAAGGCACTACGACGACGACTGAATCTCCTACCATATCAACAAGCTCGGAAGAATCGATAAAACGATTTATACCATACAACTACTGGCAAATTTACAAGAAGAACATTCAAAACGCTAAAGTGAATCCGGTAAGTAAAACCGTTACACACCTTCAATGCTATGATTGTTCTAGAGAATATCTCAGGAATCGTATATGGACCGCTTTCTTTCACTTTTTCGAGAAGAGCCAACCACAACAACAACACAATCAACTACACAAGAGTTCCTTGTCCAAGAGGATTCTCCCATTACAGATCTGGGAAAGCAGCTTTTTTATAAATATGTTGAAAAGCTCAGTAAGTGTGGATGAGGTACAAAAGTCAAAATAAAGGCCTTTCAATGTTTTTAAGGAGCACAGTTCGGTTTCTTGGATCGATTTATTTGTAGCTGCGAAGGGGATCTAGCAGCCGTGCTGAACTCGAAGACCTTCATCTCTATGAGTCTCATACACGACTGATGTTCTGCATGTAGACATTGATACCCTGGAATTTGCAATTTTCAATTTTTACCAATTTTGAAGCTGACATGATGTTTTCTTTGAAAATTGTTTTTCGATCGCATTCAGGTGTATACCGTGCTGTTCTTTCAACCTAAATCTATTGTAGCATATTGCATTGAATTGTTCCAAGTCAATAAATATGTTTTTTGTTTGGCAAAAATGAAGGGCTGTTGGCTGTTAGGCTGTTGCATGACGAAGGCGCAATAACTTCAGGCGCTAACGCGGCTTTATTAGCCGCAGAGCGCATCAGACGCAGGATTTACAACGGTGAAGGTAAGCGCGCGCCGCCCGCTCAACTAATACTGCTTCTGCGCCTTCGTCATGCAGTAGCCTTTAGTTCAAAAAATACAGTCGCTCCTCAAGTAGCGTGAATTTGAGAAGCGCGCTGGGACTCGCGCCAATTGTCAACTCAACCGTCTTCTTCAAAAACTTTAGCTTAGTTTCTTACTACAAGGATTTTGTGTTGTACATATTATCTCATGGCGGTCTCAGGGTTTCCGGGGAAGAGGAAGGGTGCAAAAATTTTATCTTTTTCAACTAATTTTCTAAACTTTTGGACAATTTCAACAAAATTTTAACTTTCTAACTCTGTGACGCAGTTAGCCACGCATCCCGAAAATTTTTTGGGGTGCTTTCAAAATTTTTGGGAGTCCATGAAAAAAGGAGCGTAGCTTTAGCCACGCTCCCGAAAATTCTTTAAAAGGCTACTTTGGATAAACAATTTTAAAAATCAATTACCCTATTTTCCGGATTATAAGCCGCACCTTATATAAGCCCGCCGCAGCGTACAATGGCGAAGCGCCTTCAAAAAAAATGTTCTGAACTTAACAGATTAAAGACTCGATGCATTTTGTGACTGCTCTTCACTATGCATTTTCATGTCATCAGGTATTCTATTACTCTTTCCGAAAGATGGGGACCATTCCAAGGTTTCGGTTGTATTTTCTTTCGTAGATACATTGAAGTTGACGGTGCTTTTTTTCATTTTCAATGATGGTACTGATGTTAGGGCCGTGCTTTGTTCGAATTCATTGGTATCGTTTTATTTCAACGGTGCTTTCAATTCTTTCACAAAAAAACGAAAGCAGAAAGTTACTGTCAGGCTACTAGGTGAAATAGATAGTATTGGCTGTTTGTGCAGCGTCGCGCATCGAGACCGCCATCGCACGTTAGATCTCGCGCGGTGAAAATAATTGCGACTTATGCGCCGGAAAATAGGCATATGTACAAGAGTTAGCCACTTACATGACATTTTTATAACTCATGTAAGAAAATTTCAATATTTCGCGACCCATTCTCGAAGGGGGGGGGGGGGCGGCGGCTCGGTTCGCAACTGTCTCATATCTACCCTTTGTTGATGTCTTTTTGGGCATCATTTATGTTCTATTTTACCTTCTATTCTTTCGATTTTTTAACATTACTAGACTTTTTGTGATTACCGTTCGTGTTCTTGCACTTATCAAAAATAAATAAATAAATAAATAAGCAAACCAATTCCAGCAGGTATTAAGAAATTAAGAACGCGGCTACCATTGCCTGCTGCGCATATTTTCATGCTCCTTCAACTTGAAAAAAAAGGACTACTAAGCATTTAGCACGATTTTCTGTACTGCCGATACCGTCTTACTTCCCCGATCTAGAGCCTCAGCGGGCGAGTTTCCAGATGTTATAAAAAGCCATGTTCTCTTCCTTCCTTGAAATTCGAATCCCTATAAAAAAACAGAAGCGCAAAAATGAAACTTAACTTGAGTAAATGATGCTTGCACACCGCAGAAAGCGATAGGGCTGAGCAAAAAGAGCAAAAGGTTTCGTAGGTGGGAATTCTACAATATGCCCACATTTTTTTTCTTGCAACGCTCATCTCATGAAACTTATATTAACCATTCAGTGGCCAAAAACTTCATATTGTACGTCAAATGACAGCATATTCTAGTTTCCCTTTGCAAGATGATATTATTTAGTGACTCTCGCAACATTATGCTAGGTTGCCGCAAAAGTTTTGACTCTAATAAAATCCCATACTTTTATCTCCCGTATACAATCTCTCTGAGATGATATCCAAACCTCTGCGAAGAGGTTGTTACACATAAATTCTAGGCCAAAATCTGGAAATATCCAATCACCTCTAAAATCGTCTTTCCGCCAAAAAAAACCTTACGTAATCCTGTCTTGCAGCTTCTGCTCTCAAACATCAGACTTCAACACTTTTACTACCACTTTCTTATACCCGTATGCCGGTCCTAAATTCCATATAGAGTCCGTGCATTCATGTATATGCACGCAAATTTTCGGAGGGAAAGACTTCTCGTAACTTTTATATGGCTCTTATAACAATGGGGAGATTTGACAGGTGAAAAGCATGGCACCTTGGTAGTTGCTCAGGAGCTAACTGATGTAGGTACTTGGTCCTCTTTTGAAGTGAGATATGCCACTAATGTTCCTTTTCGGAAAGCGAAGGCTTTCTATAGATATTTTGAGAGCAATCAAACACTTCAATGAATTTCACTCAACCTTACGATGCATTTCTCAGAAGGATAATCTGCAGACATAGTAATTACATGGTCTCTTGAAGGGTACAAGCCCTCATATGTGTAGCTTTTGAGAAAGTGTATGTTTGACTTTGAGAAGATTTGCGTGTTTCATGGGTAACAGAATTTAGGGGGAAGAGTTGCGTGATGGTACAAGGCCTCTCTTGGCCAGCGGCCGTATTCATCAACAAACCCTGAGGGTAGACCTTAGATACTTAAATGGCCCGTCCTCACGTGACGTGCGGGCCCCAGTACAGAAGTTTCCATTGATCCCTGTCCCTCGCTTCGGACATCCACGATCTTCTAGGTCGTCTTCGGTGGCTGCGTCCACGAGATCCAGGGGCGAAATCGTATCCAGCTGATTTCTCAGTGGTCCATCCGTTCCACGAACACGTCTGCCCATCTCGTCGGTGGTCTTCCTCGAGGACGTTTAGCTTCGCGAGGAATACACTCAGATGTTCTTAGTGTCCATCTATCGTCTGCTCTTCTCATTATGTGACCGGCCCATCGGTTCGCTTTCGCAACGTATTCCACTGGATCACGAAGGCGGGACATTCTTCTCATATCCGTGCTGCGAAGTCCGACTAAGTGTTGCTTGTGTCGGGTCATCTTCAGAAGACTGCGCTGGAGCGCTCTATGGGTGGTCCTTAAAGTTTTGGACGTGGCTACGGTGTCGGCCCAAGTCTCAGCTGCATAGCAGAGCGCTGGGAGAACGGTTGAGTCGAACAGGTGGGCACGAAGCTCCGGTCCGTCAGTTGATCGGTGGCTTCCTTCAGAGGCCCGAAGGCGTCCCAGGCTGCTCTTCTTCTCCTGTTAAGTTCTTCCCTCAAATCGTTCTCCATATTCATCGAACGTCCGCGATACACGTAAGAAGACGTCTCCATGATAGGGGTGCCTTCCAATTCCATTTCTGCATCTTCGCAAAAGGCGTTCTTCATGAACTGAGTCTTCTTCCGATTTATTCGCAGTCCGATCTTCTTCCCTACTTCGTTTAGTTCCTCCAGCATCGTCTCTGCTTCAGTGATACTGCTCGAGAAGAGGACGATGTCATCCGCAAAACGAAGGTTGGATAGGAATCTCCCATCAACTCATATGTCTCTCTCTTCCCAGTCCAGTGACTTCATCACCCACTGCAGGGCCGCGGTGAATAGCTTCTGCGAAATAGTGTCGCCTTGTCGAACCCCCTTCCCAATTGGAATGGTCAGGGGGCGATGGAATAGCTGCATCGTTGTTGTACAGTCCTTGTAGCAGTCGGCAAGTGTCCTCACGTAAACTGGGTCCACTCCTTGATCGACTAGCGCAGACAGGATGGCGTTGGTTTCGATGCTGTCGGCTTTCTCGTAGTCGACGAAGGTTTAGGACGAGAGGCAGTCAGTGCTCCCGGCAGACTTCTATGTCCCTCGAAACCGTCTGGATGTGGTCCATGCAGCTGAATCCTTTGCGAAATCCAGCTTGTTCTTGGAGTTGGGCTTCATCCAGTGTCCTAGATATGCGAGCGAGGATAATCTTCGTGAAAAGATTGTACAGCACACTCAGCAGGCATATTGGACGGAATTTCGAAGATCCTCCCGTTCACCCTTCTTGAAAAGAAGGACGGTTCTTGACGTTTTCCACTGGCCGGGAATCCTCTCCTTCTGAAGGTAAGGTGTCAGGTGCGACGCGAGAATCTCGTGTAGAGGGTAAGGGTCAGGTGCGACGCGAGAATCTCGTGTCCTCCGGCTTGCAGAAATTCGACGGAAAGATGGTCAGGTCCTGGAGCCGTGGATGTCTTCATGGCCGTGCGCACTTCAGCAGGTAGAATTCGTAGTGGTACTTCTCCAGTGGGAACAACGGGCATCGGCACGGGTGTTGATGAGCGGAAGAGGTTGGTGTCGAAGTTCTTCGCGACAGATTCCATCTTGTATCGGGAAGAGTACCGGAGTACCGTCTTCGTTTAATAGTGCAGCCAGCGGTACGTGATATTCGCAGAGGTCCCTTCGGCATTTCTTGAAACTTCGTCTTCCTTCGGCTGCTTCCAGTATCTTGGCTTGCCTGTACTTCCTGAGATCCTCCTGCAAAGCTGTCCTGCAACTGGAGTTGGCTATCAGTCGCTCGAGATGGCTTGCATTCGGATCCTGCCTCAGAATTCTTTTTCTTTCGAGCAATTCCTTGGTGGTCTTCGAAATACGTTCCAAGTTCTTCTCGGAAGTCACTGAAGCGCATTCTCCGCAGGCTCGCAATCCTTTCAGAAGCCGGTCGTAGTCGTACGTTGGGTCCTCCTCGATGGGCCAGTCACATCTTGATATGAGCTCTTCCAGCCTGTTACCGTCATAAACGACTTCCTTCCTTCTCGCGGCACTGTGACAGACTTTCTTTTCCAGCCTTCGTCTGAGTCGTATCTTCGCTCGAAGGAGGGGTGATCGGAGCCACTACAGAAGGATGGAACTACTGAGACATCAAGCAAGCTCCACCTTCGGTTAGTGAGAATGTGGTCGATCTCCGCATGAGTCGTTCCGTTGGGCGATTCCAATGTCCACCGGCGATGTTCTTTCTTCATGAAGACGGAATTCCCATGGAAAAGTCGTGCGGCGCAGAGAAGCCCAACGAGACGGTTGCCGTTTTCGTTCTGGAGCCCATATCCAAACTTCCCTCCTATATTTCTTTTCTACTGGCATCCCGATTTTCGCATTGAAGTCGCCCACAACATACTTGTAGAAGGATTTTTCGTTGCGGACGACCTCCTCCACGTCTTCCTAGAAAGCATCTAAATCTGAGTCGTCAGCTGCTGATGTTACAGAGTAGCAGTTGATAATGCTGATGGTCTTCTGAAGTGGAGGGCGTGGTCGTAGGATGGCTAGTCGGGGTGATAGGATCTCGTGCGAATCGGCAAGATGGACGATAGATGGGTGGACGACAAAGCCAACGCCTCCCACGTTTCGTGATGGAACCTTCTCACCACGAATGATGAGCATCCCATCATTCATTTGTCGCACGTCCTTCTTTCTGGACTTCGTTTCCTGCAGAGTGATGATGTGGTATTTGATGTGCTCTGCAGCGTCGACTGTCCTGGCATTGTAGGTGCAGAGCATGAGGCAGTCTCCATGGCGTGTTGTCCGGGCAGACGTGTCGTTTTTGTCCTATCCAAAAGGCGCCCTGAGGACCCTGACATCAGTCTTGTAATGACCCGGCGCCATAGGCGGGATCCGATGTGCAGGGTTTCTTTCTATTCTTCTAACTGGTAGAGTAATGAAATTTTTCCCCTACAAGAGCAGACTTACTATGCCAACTCTTGATTTCCACGGGGCGATCGCTGACCCCGGACTTGGAGCGGGGAGAACCGCCAGCTAAACCTTACCCTTGAGGATAAGTTTTACCCCTGAAAGCATAAAACCCGTACTCATGAAGCACAGGGTAAGCTTAACCTCGAGGGTTAAGTCTACCCTTGAGGGTCAAACTTACCCCGGAAAACGATTAGCCCGTACTCGTTAAGGACCCTGAGGATAAACTCTATCCTTGAGGGTACAACCTACCCCGGATTATTAACCCGTATTGAACGTGATTCATCAGGTTAAATTTAACCCTAGCATATAGCAAGATTAGATTTATCCTGACACTTCTTACGAACATAAAGTAATCTCTCGATGCACCACTCAGTCTCAGCGATACTGAAATGACAATAAACACATACTTTTAATCATTATTGAATTTCCTAATTCTTCCTTTCTATGAAGAAGCATTTTGTAGAATAGTACAATACCGCTCACATTTTTTGAAAAAAAGACGCGAATGTATGGACACGTATGGACATGTCCGTACATGTCCATACATGTCCATACATTCGCGTCTTTTTTCAAAAAATGTGAGCGGTATTGTACCAAGTCCGTCTAGTCACATTATAAAAACTAGGATAAAATTTTTGTAGTACTTTGTTGGTCAGCCATCAAGTTTATCTAGTTGACTAGTTTATCTAGTTGACGTATCAAATCATCTACTGGCGAGGATACTGGTGGATCAAAATTTGGATGAGGGAGTTCCATTCACGAACATTTTTCCGAGTTGTTGAGTTGATGTTCGTCATATTAAAGCCTTTAGTTGGACATGTATTTCATTCAAAACTAAATCTATTGCCATAACAACTTGGGTTAATCGCTTTCTGGGGTAAAATTTACTCTCAAAGATAAGATTTGCCCTCAAGGTTATTGATGAATACGGGTTGGTCGCTTTGGGGGTAGACCCTACCCACAAGGGTTATTGATGAATACAGCCAAGAACCCTTAGGGTAAAACCTACCCTTGAGGGTAGAGTTAACCCTCAGAGTTCGTTGATGAATACAGCCACAGGTCATACCCAGTTTCAATCTCTTTCCTGAGCCAACCAAGGCCTCTATTAAACAGAGGCTGGTAATCTGGTATTAGAGGAATTTGGGACGACAAAAGGCTGACTTGGTAATCGGCAGGCCCATACACTTCACTGTAAAGTCTCATGCATTCAGCAGCCTCTTCGACTATGAAGGTAGAGTGCGTTCGGCGCATGCCGGGACGGCCGAAACTTTTATCCCTCACTTATGTGTAACATAATAACATAAACTACCGCCTAATGCTCGAATGCATACAGTGTATGCACAAAAGAAGCGCGAAACATAAGCGGAAGTCTCACCCAAAACCTTAAAACGGATGATAGCAAGGGTTTTCATGTACAAAGTTATTTTGATCTATGAATTAATTCTATAATACTTGCTTCCATAATAGTTAGATCCATCCAAAAAGAAAAAGTCAAAACACTACAGAAACAGAAGTTACTGTAATGTCAGCATATCCAGTGAGTTCATCAAGCTAGAAGACCAACAAGCAAACCTATACTTATCCTATCCCACAAGTTTGCCTTCAAAAAGCCAAGCTAGGTTCTAACAGGGCCCTAGATTTTAGTACACGAACACCTTCACAACCTTCCATGCTCGTTGTTTTCGCACTATACTCAATCGGATATATCTGCAATCACGCGTTAGCGGAATGTCCCATCACCGGTAGGTACCATTTTCAATTGTATCTTATCGAAAAGTTTTTGGCGGAAAGTAAGTCCTCGAAGGAACTGATAGAAAAGCAGTAAGGAAGGTAAGAGAATGCATTGATTTGCAGCTTTTTTCAAACCCTCTAAGGAACAATTCGAGAATGCTAGGCCCGCCCTACTAAAATGATCTCAGTCTAAATGCTGAATTTTTAGATCGTGAAAGCAATTTCAATGAACAACTGATCCTGTACAATGCGTTAATCAAAAACTATCAAGCAAAACTGCCAGCCGTCGCAGTGCAGTGTAAGTGTCCAATAGATGCAAGTGCCCAAAATCTTTCTGCTTAGCCTTTATCTTTTAGTTGCCAACATGACAGTCAAGATTCCGAGGTTTGAAGTACTGCTAACGGTGAATGACATGAAGCTGACTCAGGTGGTAAGCTGTTTGTTTGTATTTTCCAAACATCTCACTTTTGTGCAAAATCCGGACCAAGGAACTGAGAAAACAACAAGGACGTATATGCTTTTACTGGTTGCTGGGGATGGTTTCAGGTACAGGTAAAATGCTGATTACAACGGTGGGAGTAGAGAACCAGCATACTAAAGGGGACAAAAACAAGAAATTTTTGGAAGGGGCGTTGAACCATTATGTAGTGTCAACAAAGACCAAGCGGACCGGGTATACTAGCAAATGACCGGGACGGGGCACGTATACTAGCCAATGAGATCATGGAGTTACCAAGTGTGCTTTTACCAAAAAAGCTTTTCATTTTCAGGTCGAAAAGCAACATAAAGCGGAGTTTCTCATTAATTATCATTTGGTAAGCTCTTAACACGTTTTTGGATACAAATTCTAGGCTTAGTTTTTTTTCTGATCCCAAACTTCAAAGCAGTTAGGTACTGCCTTCCCGTCTAGGACTGGAGAGATGAGAGGCTTATATGGAATCCCGAAGACTATTGTGGACTAGACCACATTTACGTGCCACGCTCTAATATTTGGAATCCTGACGTTATAGCCATTGACGTGTGAGTTAGTTGACTACACGACTTATGGTGTGGAGGAATACAAGATAAAAAAAACAATTGTCGGCTTTATTTTGAGGAAAATTCACAACTTCAAAAATCAACGCTTCTTATTGCAGAAAAGGCGGTTTTAGCTTTAGATAACGCTAACCATCATTTTTTGGAGTTTCCAACTATATAAGCAAAACGCTATATTTTCAAATTAAACATAAAGAGTCTAAAAAGTGAATTACTGCTAAAATGGCTGATTCTATTTATCACAATTATTTACGAAGGAAGACACATAGCAGAGATTGTTTTTTCCATCAAGACATATCGTCCTACAAGGCGTACGATTGAAATTTTTTCTATAAGATGTATGTACAATATAGTAAAGGCAGTTTTCCACCAGATTGGGGGGTGCCTGATTCTGATATTGTGTTAATAGATCCCTAAATAAGCGAGGACAGAAGTTTGCAGCGCGAAAGGGGGTCTACGAACTCTACAAATCGCCCTCCAAGTGGCCGGATCTTACAGTAGGCTCGGGCGAGTACGAGAGCATGCAAGGTATAAAGACGCAGAGTCGTTGTGGGACCCTGCGCTCATGACTGTATGCGCTATGCGTGCTCTGGCCTTGCAGTTCGAATTTGATCTGTAGGCGGCGTTCGGGCCAACTGTAAGATTCGGGCCACTTGGGGGGCCATTTGTAGACTTTGTAGACCCCCCCCCCCCCTTCGCGCTGCAAACTTCTGTCGTGGCTTAGTTAAGGGGTCTACTAATACATTAATACCATAGTGTAATTCAAACATGTAAATCAGTTTAAACCGATGCCCTCTACGAAGAAATCCACGAATTTTCCTCACAGAAAAATTCCAGGCGGCTAATCGAAGGCGTACCCAAGTGGCGGCAGGGCGCTAACGATTGAAAGCTACCCCGTGGCTGCTTCGATAAGCAAGTGGAGAGAGATGGACTTCCACATAAACTTGCATACCCATTTCTCGAGTTGGTTTGAGAAAGAAGGGTCAAACCAAGAAATAAACTCCGACCGTTTCTCGAGAGAGTTGACCCCAACAAGCTATCTTTTGCCGTCATACCTGTGATGATATGGAAAGCTTTAAGCTGCCGAATACAAGACGAAGATGACAATCCGTGCTTACAACCATGGCTCGTATCGGACCAACCATCGAACATCTGGGCCGGTAGTGATCTGGTCGAAACTCCGAGTTTAAAGCTGCGCGTTGACTCAGAGATTCGTTTTGAAACTCAGAGTTAACTCCGAGTTTCGTTTCTGAAACTCGGGGTCTCGTTCTGCTACTTGCGGAGCCGCCATAGTTGTTAGAGGAGCTACTACACGCTTAATCGCAAAACACTCCGACTAAGTCGGGAGTTGAACTTCGTTGCTCGGCGAGAAGTGCCTACTACTAGACCACTAGGCTACACAACATCCTAGCACCCACGCCATTCTGCCACTATTAGTACTCGTTGCTTACATCCTATGTGTTCAGGCACGTCAAGAGGCATGGTGCCTCTTCGCTGTAAACAGTGGATTTACTAAGATACCTATACGCCAGTGACGTAACGAGGAGGGAGGGGGAGGGGGTAATTTTTGAAAGTTACTGAAATGTGTTCTAAAATTGTGCAAGCGACTTGTTTTACTTGTAAATGATTGGAGTAATTTGCAAATTTTGAAAATTCAAATTAGCCTTGAAAAAAATTTCGGGGGTGCGGCTGCCGGCACGCCCCTTTTTCTAAAATTTTGGGGTCAGAGAAACGCAAAAAATTTGGAAAGCATCCAAAGAAATTTTTTCGGAGTGCGTGGCTAACGCCACGTACCTTCACCTGAAAATTTTTTTGTCCCCTCCCCCCGAGCGGAAATTCTGGGTACGCCACTGCTATACGTACTCCCCCTTTCCATTCTCAACCTCCACTTATGCAATCTTCTATTCACAAAATCCCATTCCTAGAAGAATTGATTATCCCTAGCTGCATTCCTAAATAGGATAACTAGCGAAGGTGACTGCTTTATTAACAAAACATAATTTAAGTATCAAAATTCAGCTAAAAGCTCTCGAAGTCGAATGTATGTAAAATGTAACAACCATGTGTGAAAAAGAAACACATCATGGAATCATCTACATGCCTCTATCATTCTGATAATACTATCGGCTTACTGATGAGTGTTTTCATTCGAATATTTCGTCATTCGACAACTCGGAAAAATAAATTATTCGAATATTTGAATATGCGAGGGATTTTAAAACAAAGTTATTCAACTATACAAATATCGAGAAGTTTCGGAAATCCTGGTCTTAATACTTGAATCGACTATTGCGATTAAATACTCCAATATTGCATGTGAGTATTCGAATATTATTGCATTCGATATTCGATGCTATTCAGTTGTTCTTTTATTCAATTATTCGATCTAGTTTGTTTAATCGAATATTCGAAAGTTCGAATTTTAGAATGTGCCCATATTCGAATATTCGAAATCGAATAGTATAAAAATCGATATCGACTAATATTCGTTCATTTGGGGATTTCTCATAATTCAACTATTCATTTGTTCGATAAATTTCCAAAAATATTATCCGATATTTGTTCATTCGATGAAGATTTGCGTTCGTCACAACTATATCACAAGCTAGCAAAAAGCATAGCTCATGGTTTGGTTTCGGTAAAAAAATCTTGCGAAAATCTGTTATCAGGTTGTCCCATAAGTTCCGTCCGTTTTAAATTTCAACCGCAATAAATCATGAACTTCTTGATCCTAGATAGGTTTCAAGGTACCGTTCGATAGAGCAAATCAAGCTCTACAAGATGGCTATCTCGCTTTTGCATCAGCTCTGATCCATCTCGAGTTTCAAGGCGAAAACTAAAAAGATCCAACTGCCCGAAAAATCGAGAAAAAATCATAACTCCGTTCAAAAAAATTCTGTAGAAATTCTAACTTGCTCGCGTAAACAGTATCCATATAATACATTTATATACGCCATTGCCGTGTTTTTTGTTGGCTAGAAATCAAGAAAATGAAGATTTTCACGCTTTTGCCAAAGTGGTGCTGTGGTGTCCCCACATAGGTTGTTGTATACTACTAGCCTGTAGAAGTACAAATGTAAATTTTCAGCTTTCTACAGGCACTAGCTTTCGAGAAATATGGATTTTAGCGTAAGGCATCCAACTAAGGCAAGCTGTATTCGATATTTCTCGAGAACCAAAGCTTGTAGAGAGCTGAAAATTTATGTTTGCACTTTTACAGGCTAGTAGTATACAACTATCTATGTAGGGACATCACAGCACCACTTTGACAAAAGCGTGAAAATCTTCATTTTCTTGATTTCTAGCCAAGGAAAAAACACGGCAATGGCGTACATAAATGTGTTATATGGATACTGTTTACGCGAGCAAGTTAGAATTTTTTCAGAATTTTTTTGAACGGAGTTATGATTTTTTCTCGATTTTTCGGGCAGTTGGAACTTTTTAGTTTTCGCCTTGAAACTCGAGATGGATCAGAGCTGATGCAAAAGCGAGATAGCCATCTTGTAGAGCTTGATTTGCTCTATCGAACGGTACCTTGAAACCTATCTAGGATCAAGAAGTTCATGATTTATTGCGGTTGAAATTTAAAACGGACGGAACTTATGGGACAACCTGATACATTTACATTTCTGAAAAAGAAGGTGGTTGGAACTACATATTAGTTTCTCAATGCTGGTAGTTGTATGGTTGAAAAGGTCATGCGAAAATGGTAATAAAATTCAAGTAGGCAGAGTCTACTGCCTACTCTGCTAGCCATTTGTGCCATCAAGGGCCGTTCTATAAGACCACTTAGACCACTGCATGTGTTTTTGGAAAATATGGATGAGACTACTTATGGCTTTGATTTCACAGCACACGCAGCTGCTAAGAGGTTCAAGATGGAATACGGCACTGATGGCTGGCTGATGAAAACCATGAATTGCATTTTCATGCAAAATTATTAGCATAATCATAATCAGCATGGCAAATAACCCCACCACACCAATTTTCAGCGAATTTTATGATTTTCGCACAACTACCTATCCCTACCGCAACCTCGTTATGTGGCACCGTAGCGAAGAATGAACATCATAGTTGTTATCGGCGTACCAAATAATCCCACTGTACCAAGTTTCAGCAAATTTTGTGACTTTCTCCCAACTACCGTATTCCTAGCGTGACCTCGTTATGTGGGCGAATGTTGAAAAATGAGTATCGGACTCGTGATCAGCGTGCCAAGAAACCCCACAATACCAATTTTCACTCGATTTAGTAATTTTCGCCCAACTACCGTATAGCTACCGTAATCCCAAATTGTGGCCATGTAGCGAAAAATAGATATCATATTCGTGATCAGCGTGCTAAAAACCCCATTGTACCAAGTTTCAAGCAATTTTGTGACTTTCGCACTACTACCGTATACCTACCGTAGTCCCGCTCCGTGGCCCCTTAGCGAAAAACGAGAGTTATATTCGTGATCAGCATGCGAAATAACCCCAGTGTACCAAGTTTCAGCAAATTTCGTGACTTTTGCCCAACTACCGTATCCCTACCGTAACCCCCTTATGTGGGCGATTGGCGAAGAATGAGCATCAGACTCGTGATCAGCGCGTCGGATAACCACCGAGACCAAAATTTTACAAAATTTCAAATTTTTGTGTTCAACGGTGCACCATGATACCCCCATCATGCTTCATGAAACTCAAAGCAAAATCTACCCCGGAGGACTTTTTTCTGGACCTCTGCGTTTACGCACTATTTCTCTTTCTCTAACCAAACTCAGAGTTAACTCCGAGTTTCGCGGGCGGCTGAAACGCGCAGCAAATTCAGAGTTAACGCGCAGCTGAGCTGCGCGTTTCGTCGCGTAGCGTCTCGCATGGAACGAATTTCGCTACGTTTCCATACTTGGCATAAAGTACGTCTTGCGAGGTATCCTGCCATATAAGCCTTTCCCCAATTTGGTTTGCTTATGCAGGTGTTAATGGTCCCTGAAAGGTGCGTGTTAACTCAGAGTTAAAGGCAGTGTCTCACCAAAGTTGAGGTCGCGCGGATTTTCACATATTCTATTATAGGGACCTCTAAATAAGCCACTGCAGCAAGTTTCACTCAATTTGACCCCCTCCACGCTGAGAAAAATTCGCTCAAAGTGGTACGCGGAGAACGAGTTGGTACGCGCGGACGACTCTTTCGGTCTCCCCCTTACGCGTTTGAACATGTCCTCCCACTTGGCATCCACCTCCCCTCTGTTGCTGCCACTGTGGCTGAGGCTGGAGTTGGAAGGTATAACTCGTTCACGTTGCTTCCAAGGGGCTTCCAGAAAACGGGGTTTTTGGGAACTTCGTGCGATTTTAAGCCCATACAGTGCTAGACAGGGTCCGACAGGCTTCCAAAATGCAAAAATCTCGGCAACTAAATTTTGGTGAGACACTCTTTAACTCTGAGTTGACTCTGAGTTTGAGCTGCGCGTTTCGACAGGATTACTACCGGTCTGATGATGAATGAGGAAGATCAAGTATGACAACACAATGAAGACAAGAAGACACCATCCGCTGACTTCCAATCTTGACAATTGAGAAGAACTATCTCTAACAGGGAAGGAAGGTGGGTCGAAGTGGCCTTTTAAAATGAGGTGGGTATCATCTTGTAGGGCTTCGAACGCTGATTTCAAATCTGCCTTCCTTATCTGCGGCGCGATTTTGGGCGAGTAGTTATGAGGGTTTTTAAGGGGCGGAAGTCGATACAAGTACAATCAAGGACAGCACACTGCTGTGTGCAGTCTGGTGTAGTGGCTTGTGTGATGATCTTGCAGGCAGAAGCTCCCAGGTTCGAATCTCCAGCTGTGGGTTTTCTTTTGCTGGTCTACAAAAAATTTGTATGAGCGCGCCTATCGTCTGTATATCACCTCTTTCTTCTTTTAACTGCAAATCTCTTCAAAAAAGTTTTATTCCTCTATGTTTTCGAACGTCTATGTGCACTGATGAAAGGAGAGGACAAAATGTGCAAAACATAGGCATTTTTCACAATGAGAGCAACCAATGAAGACTACTTCTTAACAATCCGAATGGTCGCAGTCTCCTATTAAATTGGAAGGGAAGCAGTACTGTGCAGGCGTTTCAAAATCTTTCGGATGTGCATCAAGGTAGCCGCTGGCGTGCCAGGAATAAGCTGAACATTGCCGAATATGTTGAGAACATTGTGACCTCCTTTCACCGCGGTGTTACGTGACAAATTGATTCTTTTGACATTTCTACCTCCACTTCAAATCACTTGCAAAGACCTTCGGAGAGAGCAGTTGTTGCCTTGAGATTTGATAAAAGAAACAGGGGGTGGTGTATGGACGCTGCCCATGCTCAAACAAATTTTTTGTAGACCAACCAGACGGAAACCACAACAAGAGATTCGAACCTGGGAGCCTCTACCCGCAAGACCATCACACTAACCACTACACCAGACGGCACACACCGGTGCGCACTCCTTGATTGTATTTGTATCGACTTCCGCCCCCTAAAAACTCTCATAACTCCTCGCCCAAAATCGCGCCTCAGATAAGGAAGGCAGATTTGAAATCAGTGTTCGAAGCCCTACAAGATGATACCCACCGCATTCTAAAAGGCCACTTCGACCCACCTTCCTTCCCGTGTAAGAACAGGCGACGGTAGAAGACTCGACGCATAAAAGGTCTTGTCAGCACGAGTTTGTCAATGGGATCGATTCTTTCAAACAACTAACCACTTGAGAAGTCTACGAATACCAAGATGTAAATCATCCCAAATTTGACTGTCTTCATTGCGTAATATCAAACCAGAGAGGCATTCTATATGGACTTGGAGAGGTTCGACAGAGAAAAACACATACTTTACATATACACATTTATTCATCCTCAGCGGTTATATGCAGAATATCGCGATGATTGCTTGAGTTAGGCAACTTCGATTTTAATCGCTTTGATAACAAGAATCCATTGTTGCTTGTGGCAAACAGCGCATTCTCGTAATGTCGGATCTTGATCCATAACTTCTCGACTCGGTAGACGCTGTGGACCAGCCACGGTTTTTCCACCTTGTTTTCTTAATCCTATTCCTGGTGGATGGTATAGGTCAGAGCTAAGACAAACAGACAAACAGATAAACAAACAGACATTCAGCTTCATATATAAGACAATAGCATCTCTGCGACTGTGCTAAAGAAGCTAATAGCTTAAGAATTACGAGAAAACGTGTTTCATTGCTGACTCTGAAGCTGACACGCCAACTGGGCGACGAACCAAAAGCAATTACTAACTGACGTTCGAACCGCGAAGCGATGCAGAGAAGAGATTGAAAAAGATCTTAAGAAGGAAGTAGCAATGATAATTGACGCCGCAAAGGCTAGAAGAAGTTAACTCGAAGTCGTCGATCTTCGACTTCAACATCAAGATGACGCACGCCGCCCTCAAGGAACAACAAGAGTTAAGTGGAATCGCCTACAACTCTATTCGGATCTCGCTGTCAGCCATACTTACCCGGGTCCAGGTCACCTTAAAGAGGCCGATAATAGCAATCATGTTTGTTCTTTATTCAAAATTCGTCATATTATTACCCATGAAGAACCTCAGCGTCTGGCTCCTACAATGAAAAACTTCACGCGTGTGGATCTGATCCCTACAAAATCAAGCCAGGATCAAGTCATATATTTTTCAATCCTTTCAAGACTCCGTCAGGATTTTTTACGTGGTACCTCACTAAAGGCAAGATTAATGGAAAGTCAGCAGCATTGCTGTGCAAGAAGAAAGATTCCTACCACATTGCCGTCTATCGTCCTATCCGCTGTTGTCCATAGTCTACAAACTCCAAAGCATAGCTCCAGCGATTGCATCAAATCTTTCAATCTGTTCGACTTGGCATTTTACCAGATCTTTACGGAACTACCGTGCGCAACTCCTATATGCATAGGTGCGTAGCTGTTGTAAAGGGGCGTCCCAAAAATGTGCACGCTGTTTGATTATCAATAACTCTGTTACCTCAAGGTCTTTTGCCAAACTTTAATAATGTTCAGTAGAGCTGGTTTCAACTTAGGATTATAGTATAGTGCGAATCTTCGATCCCTCTTCGTCAATGTAGAATTACGGTAGACACTGAGGAGGGTTTCAAGCCATTAAGAGTAGCACCTTGCTTCAAAAAGGAGACCAAACTAGACGAAAACTCATATACTGAGCTAATCAAAGTAGCTGATTTCTCATATGAAGTTTGTGCAACACTTACTTAGATACTTAAATGGCCCGTTTTTGAGTGGCGTGCGGCCCCCAGCACAAATTTTTCAGTTGTCCCTATCCCTCGCTTCAGACATCTTCTTGGTTGCCGTTAATGGCTGCGTCCACGAGTTCCAGGTGCGATAATCGTATCCAGCTGATGTCTCAGCAGGTCCATCCGTTCCACAAACACATCTGCCATTTCATTGGTGGTCTTCTTAGGGAACGTCTGGCTTCACGAGCAATCCACTCAGATGTTCTTAGTGTCCGTCTGTCGTCTGTTCTTCTCATGACGTAACCCGCTCATCGTGTTTCGCTTTCGCAACGCATTCCGCTGGGTCACGAAGACGGGACATTCTTCTCATATTCGTACTGCGAAGTCCGACTAGATGATGCTTGTGTCGGGTCATCTTCAGAAAACTGCACTCGAGCGCTCTGTGGGTAGTCCATAAGAGGCCTTCAGAGGCCCGAAGGCGGCCCAGGCTGCTCTTCTTCTCCTGTTAAGTTCTTCCCTCATGCGCTCTCCATGTTCATCGAACGTCCGAGATACAAGTAAGAAGACGTGTATGTCTTTGCACAACACGTTCACCTTTTTCCCGTCAGTTCAAGTAAATCGTAACAACTGACTAAAAAATTACAAGAGAATGGTCAGAAATCGAGGTGGCCAATCCAAACAAACTGCATGCTATTCGATGCAGACTGCATGCCATTAGATGATGACACCCTGACATCGAATTTCTATCCCGCATCTGCTTAGCGCCTTTGCGGACGAAGTTATGAGCCGTTAAAGGTCGTTATTTTGCTGAAAAAAATCATCCATGCAAAGCGCAAACTTGGCAGTACAGAGCTGCTTTCGGCTCTGTACTGCCACTCTGGGCCAAAACATACAGCTACCTTACTTTACATTCTTTGAGCTTGAAGGTGAATTGAAAGTGCGAAAATGTGCTCAATTTCGCAAATTTTATATGCGATTTTTTCGCAAGAAAACTTCGTAACTTCGCCTAGAAAGGCGCTAAGCAGATAAGGAATACAGTATGCAAATCAATGATGCTTCAAATGGCAGGCAACTTGCTTGGATTCGCCACTTCGACTTCTGACATTCCCCTGTTGGTACTACACAATTCTTAGAGTTTCGAAAATTGCACCCTTAGGCACTCGCCATTCTTGATCCTCTTGATCCGCTTGATCCGCTTGATCCACTTGATCCGCTTAATCCCATTCGTGCAAAACGCGCGTCACTAACTTGTCATTTGGCACTGCGTACAGCGTATTTGTAGCCATACAAATTTACTTTTAACCTACGCGGCGCCAAATGACAAAGTGCTGTGTGCGCGTGTTTTGCACGAAGAGCATCAACTGGATCAAGCGGATCCAGAGGATCAAGTATGGCAGGTGCCTTAATGGTAATGTTTTGAGATCGTAATTCTACTTCGATGCTACAGAGGCTTCTTTTTTTCAGTTATGCAAGCTACAATACATGAATTGTTTTCAGACATTCTTTCGAAAACTACCGGATTGATGAAGACGATTACGTCAGGGTCAGTCATCCTATTATGATTGTGATCATGGTAGCAGATTAAACTGTTTTTTGCAGCTTTTTTCACAACTTTTCTCAATTGTTTCGCACTCAAATTTTGGCATTCTATACTAAAGTCTACAAAAGCAGGGAATAATGGGTTTTCAATGCAAAGAGTAAAATTCATAGATTACTAAAGTACACATTTTCCGTTTACTGTTGAAACCGTGATTATACGATTTTTAAGCAAAATCGAACCAATGCACAATTTCTTCCGTGCGCCGATCCAAAATTGTAGACAAGTTGTCCCCATAGGCTCACTCAAGGTCATCGAATAAAAATTGAAACTTCAAAGCATGATTGAACACTTAAGATGTTGAGCGTGTCGCTATCGTCAACTCTGATACTCACATCCGTCTAAGGTAATTATAGGACTAACGATAAGCAAACACTCAGTTTGCAAGCTGCGAGGCTGCGCAGTGGGGTATCATCTATCTGTTGACACAAACGTCATTTTACAAAATGCCATTTTTTATAGTATCAGAGGAATCATAGAAAGATTTGTACGTTTCAATTTATCAATGATGCCCATAAGCTCCATCCATCAGTTTTCAAACCGATGACTCCCATTTTTCTTGATTGTTAAGAAGTAGTGGTGTATCTTCCAATAGACCAAAACAGACTGTACAAAGTGGTGCCCAAATATTCGGGCAAAGTTTTTCTCAGATTAAGTCTGAAATCGAAATCTTAACTTTCAAAAGCCCAAAATTCCGAAAGATATCAGAACTTCACCCAAATTGTCCTAACCTCTAACTCGCTCATATCTCATCCATTCATATGCACATTTGCTGTATTTTATCTAGGGCTATAGATCGAGAAAACGATATTTGACATGTTTTCCAAAGCAATGCCAAGGACTTTCCTGCATAGAAAATTCTCGCCTTTGAAAACACGACTAGAATACTTAGCGTTCTGAAAGCGATAGTCCTTGAAAAAAGTCAGATTCAACGTTAAAAGCCGAAAAAAGCGACATTCTTGTATTATGGGCTAAATTTTATTTCTCAAGTTGCAGCCGTGGAGAAAATGCATCAAGTGTGCCTATGAATAGTAAGTGAGGAATATTTATGCGCGAACAAGTTACAGATCCTAAGATTTCAAACAAAGTTCTGTACTCCTTTCGAGTTTGCTTGTAAACGTTTCGAGATGAGATTTTCACTTCAACTCAATGTAAAACGAATTCTGTGCGAATATTTACACCCATTTTGTAGAGTTTGCTTTGCTCTGAAGGTACACCAGGTCTCTTAAGGATCAATACAGTGGCAGCTATTGGGAAAAGATTGAAAGGGAGGGAATTTGGGTAACCCAATAATATAGTAAAACTAGCTGGCTTACCCGGCTCCGCCGTATGTTCCGAATAGAAAATTCCATTTCTTAACCGATCCGGACCAAACTTGGCACACATACACTTCGGGCCCCGGAGGGTGTCACAGTCCCCTACGGGGGTGATCAGCATGCTTGATTACCGCCCTGTGCCAACTCCCAGCCCTGTAGCTCAAATTTTGCAAAAAATCGATAAAATCGATATCGATCGATGACGAAAAGTAGCCTATGACACCCGCCGGGGCCCGATGTGTATGTGTGCCAAGTTTGGTCCGGATCGGTTCAGAAATGGAGTTTTCTATTCGGAACATACGTACAGACAGACAGACATTCAGCTTTATATATAAGATGATTCCAGTGACAATTATAGGTGAACTCATCAGGCCATGTACACTTCTTCATACTTACGCGTACAGCTACGGTTTGCCCAATAGATGTGAGTCTTGTGTCCACAGTGTCAATTGCTTATAAATGCTTTCCTTATAGATTCAAGACTTTCCGTTTGACCAACAGGACTGTGCTGTTAACCTGACGGCTCTACCGTTTTCAGACGACGAGTACTATATCAATCTTGCTCTCGAGCCATTTTCGTCGAAAGACTACGAGAGAATGGTAAGCCTCGTTTGAAAGTGCTTTCGTCACTAACAAAATCGTCTGGAATGCATCTGCTTCAGGGCAATGAAGAGTGGCGGATAACATATGTGGCAGCGGTTAACGATTTAGTAGACGATCAAGAACTAGTAAGTCACCTACTTTGGTACGACGAAATTGACAAAGTGCTCGAAATTCTCACTGGAAAATGGGAAGTGTTTGGAAAGGCCATACAATTGCACTATGCGCATGTAAAATGGTATAGCAATAGAATTGCTATACCATTTTGCCCTTCGTCTTCCAGTACTCCGCCTATGATGATCTTGCAAGAGCAAGATCATCATAGGCGGAGTACTGGAAGACGAAGTGTTGAAATTGTTTTACTAATAAGGTGATAAGGTGAAGGGTTCAGCTGTACTTGTTTTAACATCTTTCCTTCATACTCAGACACTTCATTTTTGGACAATTTTCTGCGGCTAAATCCGACCAAAGTACAATGTAGTGATCTTTCAGTCCACGAGAAGCGCCAAAGTAGTTCTATTCCAGAGCAGCATTATAATTTTGATGAAGAGAAGTCCATCACTGTACATCACCATGATCATAACACCTCCTTTCGTGGTCAATATATTATCAATATTTGGTGTTTTTATGAACATTACTGAAAGTATGGGAAAGGTAAATCTTTTTTCTCAGCTGTGCACCGGAGATCTTTGCGCCTTTATAGCTCGGAATGGCTCTGACGAACGTGATGTCTTTGACATTCGTACTGGGAATTCTCGCAACAGACTTACCAAAAACCCAGAAATTGCCAAAAATAGGTGAGCGATCTATCGCCATTGCATAGGCTAAACTGAATTAGCTAATCTCAAGTCATGCCTTTTGAAAATTACAAATTCCCACATATTTGCGCAACTTTGGTTATGATGCTTCAACATTCCATCGTTAAAGCTTGAATATATTCCAGTAATCTTTGTGCTGGGAAACCTTCTTGTTATGGTACTCGCGCTTATTACAACAGAAGTCCTACCATATATCAAACAAATTTTTTTTCGCCACAAAGAGGGCGATAAGAAGTGAGCAAATTGATTTAGCTATTTGCTTGTTAGAATTTGAAAATTTTGAAATTGTGACTGTGTTGCTCTGCCAGCAAGTATCTGCCGGCGACACTAACACAATTTCAATTGTGTCAAGATTTCAGCAAGGGAGGACAGGAGATATGAATTTTGCTTACAGAAAATTAAGCTGTTTTTATCGGACGCTTGAATGGGTACTATGTGTGTTGTTCGAAATCGCAAATCTCATCAACTTCATTGTACTTCTAGAAACCAAATCAGTCAGACGTACTGGGTAGGGGACTGTATCCTATAGTCTCCACCCCGCGCTGGTAGCTGGTACAAATCTGCATGCCTGTAATGTGTGGAACTGCGCTCTACCGCAGATGTCAGCGTAGCCCTTTTGGCGACATATAGTCCTCCACCCATAGCTGTTCTGTACTGATCATTGTTAGATTTGCTTCATTGAAGTGCACGAAATGTTGAGAAAAGGCAGTGATTATTGCTGAATTCACCGCATGAAGGACAAAATACATTTTAATGCAACTTATGTGTGTTGTAAGCTGAATAAAAGACTACTTTTATGAGCTTCCTTCCACAATTGGTTTAACTGTTTACTCCTCACATCGCTTTTTATGACTTTTGCAATTCGTTTTAACTTTCATAAATCTAGCTTACAAAACGGAGCAGGTAAGAAGATAGAATATTGTTGATAAATTTTTAACACAGGCGGAACCTCATAGGAGTTCAACCGTTAGACTAAACCGGCATCCGATATATGGTAATTGAAATCATATAAAGTTCAATGTCGTCCGTCTTTCGGCTATCTACCTTCGTCTGCGCGCAGTTGCGGAATAAATGATCTTCTTTCGGAACTGTTCCGGATCAGATTTGCACACTTATACTTTGGACGGGCCAAGGCTATCTTTTGTAACAAAATCCATTTGGATCTTACAGCAGGAGCTACAAGCTGCGAATTGTTACGAGGACAAGGGATAAGTGAGCATGCCGACTACGAAAACATTATTGACAGGGCCCGGTGGAGACGAGTTTGCCAGCTAGTATACAGATAAAGCTATTGCAATTAAATCTTCGCCAAAACGAGCTTAGTAGATCCGACAAAAATTATAACATTTGGGTACTGACTATGGAAGAAGAACTGAAGCGCTCAAGTGAGCCTTTGAGGTAGAAAGAGTTCACAGATACTATTTTTATTGCCTTTATTGTCAAGATTTGTCCCACCAGTCATACATGGAGCACTTCCTGTCTATCTCGCAAACCATCACTTGAAAGAATGCACAATCTACAGCGAAAGTTTATTGTTGAAGAAGACTTCCCCTTTCCGACTTGAGGAAAGCACTTTTTAAAAATTCTTGGCACTACCGTAGGAGAGGTAAAAATGTTCAAGAATCAATGAAGGGAGTAGCAGCAGTGCTGAACTCGGAGCTCTTTGTATCGATGAATCTCATACACGTGCGACATACTTTAACATACAACTCTAAAATACACTCAAGTTAAAAAAATTTCTATCAATTTCATAGCTGGAATGAACTGCTTTGAGCACTGCTTTTCTGTTGTTTATACCATGTTGCACTGCTTTGCAGTGGCGGTCCCAGGATGCGTTCCACGCACTCCAAAAATCTTTTGTGAAAGGTTTTCGATATTCTTGCGGTCCCGTAACCAGGGCATTTGAAAGGGCCGTGGTGGCAGCAACCGCGAAGTTGCTGTGATGATGTTATAAATAATGTCTTCAGTTTCAACGTGTAACCACAGCTTGAGTGGATGTTGGATGCTCATGACGTAAACTTTGTTCCGCTTTATCAAATACCTTTGTGCAGTCGTATATGCACACTGTCAAAAGCGGATACAAGGTCATTTCTTTCATCACAACATGATACGTTCGCTGATAGATAATTTGGAATTGTCAATAAAACGACTTCTCCATGACTAAGGCTCGATCACCCAAAAGTACTTATGCTATAATTTCTAACCGTGCTCCTTTCACATGACATCTTTGAGTGGCATGCAAGTTCTTTTTAGAATGAGCCGCACGTGGCAAGCTCGAGAGATCTCCTGCTCAACTTTGACAGTTTGAGCTCGTTTGTGTGCTTTAGAAAGATATTTGACACTGCGTAAAAAATGACTTTCACAACCCTAATTTCATCAGTACAAGACCAATCTTTTCCACTTTTCCAAGCGAAAAGCTCGGCCGCAATTTGTTCCCCGAAAAATGGTTGCTTTCCCACACAATTTCTTTAGGTAAGGCAGCACGATAAGGGGTCATTTAATCGCGAAATTTTTTGGTTTGTTCAAGCTGATTGAGCTCAAAAAAACGGGTTTGTCTTGTGCTCGTGATACTATGCTATCTTATTTTCTGCTGTATTCCCTCTTTCTCAAGCTGAAGCAGTGAAACGAACGATTACTTTGGATGCGTCGGCATACTTATTTACGTATCCGCAAACCATCGCGACTTGCGGATTCCTTACCACCCAGAAAAAAAACAAGTTTTGTGTTGAGAACCGACCAGACTTTTGTCCAAGCTTGTTTGTGTGAGGACCCCTTATTTGTGACCTTCTCGTGCAGTTCAAAGACACTATTCGGATTCAGCGCAAAACTTCGAATTGAGTGTTAGTTGAAGGAACGCTGTTTATGAGGTTGACTTAATTCACATGGCGATTGTATTTCTTCTATCCCGCGTTGGGCTTGAGCAAGCAGTTGCTTGCGCTTGAAGCCTTAAAAAAATGCTTACTTACATTAGTTGAACCTCTGTTTACCTTTCGAGTAAAAAACATTACCTTGTGTGTCAAATGTCAGCATATCGATGCTGTGACAGCAGAGCTGATGTTTATGCATGGTATGAATTTGTTCTTGAAACTTAATCTATCCTTTTTTCCGAGAGCCGCAAAATATCTTGCAAACAGGTGCAAGGAAAGCCCTCTCTAACCGAACGTACATGCAACCTTCGCTCAATCGCACACTGGCACATTTTGTAATCCTAGAGTATATAGTCGCGATTGGATATGGATAACAAGTTGAAGACGTGCTTATGCGGCCTCCTGGGAATCAACGCGATGCAATAATCTGCAAGTTCCGCATCCAACAATTCTGCAATACCCTCGTAATTCTTGAAAAAACGAGCACGGTCGCCCGATTAATCTGACTTCACCGTCGCGCGGGCATATCTCACTTAGGACACCATTCGACTCAGCGTGACGCATCTTCTGATATATAAAATCGCCTGTTGACACATTAGGAGGCGAGATTCTACGAATCGTTTCAGATTTTTACTTACGGTAGGTTGCTTAACGCTCAGATAATCGCGGGGGCAGGCGGCCATGCGATTTTTGGGCAAGCGGGTACCGAAAAAATAGTTCGCTGATTTCTTGCGCTCCGCTTGCAGAAATTTGAAATAATTTTGGCAAATTTTTAGACGAACGCTTAAAGAACTATGGCCGTCTTCCCATGGGTAAGTTGCGGCCCGGTGGCCCCGTACTTACCGCGAGAAACATACGAAATTGTTGAGGGTACTTTTCGAGGGACCGCACTGCCCAAGGTATCTTCCGTGAAAGGAGGTACTCATAATTTGGGTAATCAAACCATCGTTGACATCTCTGCCGCATAGAGTTTCACCTTTCCTCGGCGTGCGCCCAAAACTGCGAAAAAGACTCCGAGCGCTTGCTGAAAGTTTGGCCAGCGCTCGCTGAAAGAAAGTATTTGACGAGCGCTTGCAGAAATTCTGTATTGCTGCCCGCTGGCGGAATATGCGACCGTAAAGGAAGTGCCGCCCGCTGAAGACCACTCCCCAAAATTCTGCTGACCGCCTGCAGAAAAGCGCGAGTTTGCGGACCGCCTGCCCCCGGCGATTATCTGAGCAGTTACGAAGTTTAGGGCATACGTCGAGCAAAGGTAGCACTCTATATGGCAGGGGTGTCTCGGGTTTGATTACCTGAGTTTGAGGTGCTTTCCTTCAGCGGATTTATCTACAGGCTGTGCGGTCCTTCAGAAAGGCCGTGGCTCCTAACAATTTTGCATATTTTCGCGGAAAGCTCACCAAAATGCGGCCCCTGCGCCGCAGTTAATTTGTGAAAAGTCGCTTGTTCTGTAAGGTTCGTCTAGAAGGGACCAACATTCTTCTGAATGTCTGCAAGCGGACGCACGAAATCAGCGAACTATTGTTCGGGTGCCCGCTTGCCAATAAATAGCATGGCCGCCTACTCCGGCAATTCTCTGAATTAGAAAGTGAAGTGTGACATTTGCTGTATTTCGTTGCATCAGATGGTAGGGTTAGGTAGCCACACTGTGAGGTGTCAAAACCACACTTTTAGCCGAATTGTATTAGAACGTTTGCAACAACTTATGTTCTTGTAGTGTGGTTATGGTGATCTCACAGCGCTCCAAAATCTTTCGAAATCTTCCTATCAAGCCCATAAAGACGATGACAATCAACAATGTCGACTTTCTTCTCAGCATACCAATTGTTCAAAATAAGCATCTGCGTTTCAACAAATTCGCATCAACACCCAAATAAGCTGATCCTTTTACTCCACTTTCTGCGGTACCGAAACTATTTTTGATAGCGAATCACCACCCAAATAAAATCCTGTCCGAATGTTCGATTTCCAGCCTTTCAGGAGCTTCCGTGGGCTCGCAAATTTGATGTCTAGAACACGCACAGTGAGACGAAAATGGATGGAATCATAAAATGCTGACTCAACCATGCTAAACTCGGCAGTGAATCTCAAAAATCAGAATGAAAGCGAAACTGTAAGGTTTTGACTGACTCGCTGATACTGTGAAACTTACAAGGCAGCGCAGTCACTCTATGAGGTGGAAACATGAGACTGAACCAGCTGTAGGTTTTATTTAGTGTGTCGGTGACACAATTTTCAAGAAGTGGAGGTGCAAGTGATAATTATCAGGTTCATTGCCCAACGCGGCAAAAGTCCGCGTATAGAAACTCAGTTGCGATTTAAGTAATCAATTACTTTGATGCTCGCTGTTTAGAATCAATCCGCTGTTGTTTTCTTGGCTGCTTCAATGCAGCGATGTTTTTCCCCAAATTTAGTCTGCTGCATGACGAAATCGCAATATTTTTCGGCGCGAACGCTACTTTATTACCCAAAGTGCGCATTAGGCGCAGGATTTACAACGGTGAGGCTGCGTTCATACTGATCCCGAAGTTCGGGAACAGTTCCAGCACAGCGCTCAAAGTGAGCGTTGTGCTGGGACTGTTCCCGGATTACGAAATCAGTATGAACGCAGCCTGAGGATACGCGCGCTGCCGTTCGCGCCCGCTCGGCCAATACTGCTTCTGCTTCGTCATGCAATAGCCTTTATGTATAACTGACGCTGGCATAAATGCTATGCGGGAAGTGCCATCGCCACACGAGCAATTTCCTCGGGAAGTAATATTCCGGTAGATTCAGTTTTTTTTCTGAATATAATTCTGAAGAGGCTTATTCGCTGTCCGTTTGGCCAAGTTTCATCTGGTTCCACGTCCTGCTCGCGCAGAAAACAACGCCTATATCGACGCTCGGACGACTGCACTTACCCATTTGGTGCGAGACAGATTTGTGCTCGATCCTAGTGCAAAAATTACAACAAGCGAGGTCTTCGTGACAAGACAATTATACTTCCCATTTGAACTCTCGTCCAAACTTCTTTTCTCTATAAGGCAAAAACGTCTTATTTGGCCGTTTTCATGCTGACCAAACCTCGTACTCGGTTTCAGCGCGACGAGAAGCACGGATCGCGGAAAAGTCAACTCTCAAAAACTGCCGGGACCCCCTCTAAAAGATGCTTGGTACCTCTTCTGTTGACTATATTAGAAGAACGATCACTTTCTTTTTGGGCTTGCACTCTCTCACTTCTTTAAGAAAAAGTCAAAGTAACACGGAATAACGGAGGCCAGCAAGAAAGCCAGAGTTAGCAGGTGATATAAAGGTTTCCCAACTACTCTGCGCTTCAGTGACACTGCTTGTTCTCCCAAAATGGATACAATAATTTGCCAAAACTAATTTCTGTAATACAGCACTTGATTTATCAACTCTTTTAATTAGAAAGCTGCCGCAGAAAATCCAAATCAGTTGTTGGAGTAGTAGTTGCGGTAGTCGGACTGGGACTGAAGTTGCTTGCGAGGTTCTGTAGTGAGCCGGGGTAGTTGTTGTTAACAGATTTTGGACTGCGAAATCGCGCATGGCAAAATGTCGTGCTGAATCATGTGTAGCAAGGTGGTCGTCGGGGACCAAACTTTTTTCATTGCATAATTTCGAACTGAGTTCACGAATAGCTTTCGCCCGTTGTGCATCATTTGACGTCATGGTCCCATATCTTGTAGTAAAAGCGCGAGTATATGGCAACCCCATAATCCGGGTCTCGAGATATGAAAGTCGTGGATTTGCTTCCAACTCGGTCCATGGGGATTATCGGACGTGGTTATCGCATTTTTTTCGCAAAACCACGCCTTTTCGTGTGATTATGGTGGTATATAGCAAGTGAGCCAGAATCTCAGATTAGCTCAAAACTTTGAGGGGCTCTTTCAGCATCCTGATCTCAATCATGACCTCGGTTGCGAATGAAATTCTTTTTGTGCGCTTTAAATGGGAGATGTTTTGAAGCTTTTACCAGAACTTTTGATCCGATCATGTCGAACATACATATTGTAACGTCAGAAAATCGCGATACTTAGCAAAATCAACACCATATCTATTGTCAGCGTACTGAATAACCCCTTCGGACCAAAATAGCCAGATCTATGGTTTTGACACCAGTGCATCATATCTATCTACTATAACCACACAGGAAGGGCTTACGGTTTTCAAAACAGGAGAGTTTTGTTTCCTAATCAGCTCTTGAAATTCTTCTATGTCTTGCAGGGCCGGTGCGACTTAGCTGGCTCAAAAATGAACCGCGCGGAGGTTCTTTCGCAAGCATCGTCGCAATGTCACACCGATTTGCAATCAGGGCCCGGCACGAGGTTGTCAAAGGGGGGTTTCGAAAACGAATTCGCCTTTGACCCAAAAATTTTACGAATTCCCCTTTGACCCAAAAATTGATCCCAGTGATTCTGCAGTGAGCACCTTAACCAAAGAACAAGTTTTATTAACGAAAAAAAATTCGCTATTGGTCAAAGTGAACTAACTGATAGCGGTTGTCCAGATGGTCCACTTATATTTCATCCACTTTGCTATTGGTCGATTCACTGATTTGACCAGTATCAAGCGGATCAATCGAATCGAGCAAATCAAGTGCTTGCCTAACGCGCGTTCGTACGTCAGAGTTCGCGGTAATGATTCAATATGAGTTGCCAGTAACATGTCCTAAGAGCAAAACACCTTTCTCTGCTTCACTACTGACTTCATCTCCTTGGGGGACGATCAGGAGGTACGATCGGCGCAAATTTTTCGCGAAGCGAAGCCGCAACGTACCTCAGCCCTTACAACAGCAGCGCTCCCGGAACACTCTTAGTTGTAGCATTAAGTCATGTATCTGCCCCCACAGCCACACCCCTGTTTTTGCTGCCGGGAATCTTTAATGGCGGAGGGTTTTGGGGCCCCACGATTTGAAGAGGCTTGCATTGTGATATCACTTTTGACATATGAGTAATATATGGTTGTCCGGAAAATAATGTCGCTTTTTGTTTTATCATGCAATATCGCAGCAGGGTGCGCACAAAAGTATATGAATGGGGTATCAACCGATAGATCAGAGCAAGCTCTACAAAATGAAGCTCGAACCTTCGCGCCAGGTTTGATTTGCGTGAAGTTTGGAGCCAAATTTCACAAGGCACTCAAGATCCGAAAAACGAAAAAAACCGTATCTCCGTTCAGAGAAGCCCTGAGGACCCCTAACTTGCTCACGCATGGACTCACCATACGTGACACTCGTAGGCGCATTTTCGAGGTTTTTCCATGGCTGAAAATTGAGAAAACCAAATTTGGCATGTTTTTGCCAAAGCAATCCTGAGCTTCTCTCACATGGGTGATTCTGTAGCATGAACCTTTAGGAGTATAACCATGAATTTCCAGCTTTAGACAAACGCTAGTTTTCGAGAAAAATCAAATTGTTTGCAAAAAACCCGAAAAACACGGCATATTCGCACTTTTGACCTCTTTTTATTTCTCGTACTGTAGCCATGGAAAAATACCAAAAACTATACAGGTGAATGTCTAGTGTGGAGAGTACATGCCTGTGCAAATTGGAGATCCCTAAGACTTCTATGAACGGAGATACGATTTTTCGGGCGCCTGAAATTTTTTATATTTTGGATTCGAACTTCAGTTGGAGCAACATCTCCGCGGAGATTTGTGAACAATCTTGTAGAGCTTGCTTTGCTCTATCGAATGATACCCCATCGATGTTTTTTGTGGTCATTCTGTCGCGGTAGGATGCCATGCGACATTATTTTCCGGACAACCGATACATAGATTTATGACCAAAACGATGCATTGTCACATTAAAGGCACTTTAGTAAAATGTTGGAATATATGCACAATGGTAAAAATAGGCATTTGTGGAAGATCAAACTACCTCAATTATATAAGAGATCTATTTGTGTCACTATGCAAAGCTGAAGAGGAAAACAGATGAGAAGCTAATCGACTTTTGCCAATGCAAGTGAGATAAACTGCTTACGTAAGAGTTGAGATTCAGGGAAAATACTGAAATGACGTGAAAGAAAGGAATCACGATGTAAAAACTAGATAGGTCGCTTATAAAACAAATGTGAAGATAAGGAATGTAAGGCATTCGACGCCACTTTCGTGTACAGCAAAAACAATGGTCATTTTTTCTTTTTGAAAAACTCATCCTACTTCTTCTTGACTGACGACTCCCTAGCACTGCTTTTAGAAGCACTTTTTTAGCACCTGATTTTTGCCACGTTCGCCAGCAGCGGCCTTCATGCGCTTTGCTTGCTCCAGTTTTGAAAGTGGACCAGCCCCTGAACTCATAATTTATAGAAATTAGCAACAGCAAGGCCTAATTGCCTGCATTTGCTTTAATAACCAGAGCATACGAAGAAAATAAAAATTAGATGTTCATGAGGTGCAGATATATGGCATACAATTGGCCAATTATTAAACCACCTACCGCGCTTTGATATTCGACGATAGTTCTTCATAAACAGATGGCGATATGACTCTAATGTCGCTCAGTTCTACTGCGGGCACTGCAGGTGCGTGATTTGAATCTTCTGTTGATTCGAACTTTGTTGGATTATAAACCTAGATACAGGAAGCACTTCTAGTGGCAGGAAGACACAACAACACACTTACCTCGCATCCATTCTCATCCACTTTGACTTCAGGCTCCCCCTCTTTCTTGTTCTTCTTTTTGTATGGCGAACTGTTTGGAGAGTTGCTAGCCGAGCCAGTGGCTGTAGACGTAGTGGGTGCTTCCTTGAAAAAAAAATCCATGAAGCTAAATCAGAGAGCAGTAGAGTGGGACCACTTGCCAGATCTGCAGGTCGCTTCAAGACACCTTTAACAAATACTCGGCTCCGGTGGTGCAGTTGAAGGTGGCCGGAATAAAACTCGACCAGCCTCGCCTAGTTGTAAGCGTTTTCCTATCCACTCCATGATATTCTGTGATTGTACCGCTTTATCCCTCAGTAGAGCGAGAAGCGCTCATGGATAGAGTGTATACAGGCGGTGTGCTTGAAGAAGAAAATTTAACTAAACATAACTTACTTTTGAATTGAACCTGTGAGCAAAAGCCACAAAAACCAAAGCAACTGACTCCTAATCGCTTCTTGAAGGCGCTTTATTTAATAATTTCCCTGCATTCCACATCACTTCAGCTATTTTATGTGGAGCGTACGAGACAATTTGTTCTCGATGTTTGCGTTTCATTCGTATGCCAAAAAAGAACATTTTTCGCCGTTTTTTTGTTCTAAGTTGTATATTAGGCGCATTCGAGATGTAGACTTTAGAAAAACGTTCTTACCTTAACCTGTTTCGCTATAAATCTCTTGAAAAGCTCTTTAGAACAGGCCTTCGATCCACCTAAACATGATTGGAATATAGCAGAGCTTCTAATTAGAGAACAAAGAAGCGGCGACGAAAAATATGCGAAAAAATAAAAGTAATCTTATACATAAAGCTGAATGTCTGTTTGTCTGTCTGTCTGTCTGTATGTATGTCTGTACGTATGTTCCCGAATAGAAAATTCCATTTCTGAATGAAAATAGCACATTGCTCTTCTGTAAGAACAATTGCGTACTTCAGCGGTGGTAGTCAGAGCATTTTCCAGGAAAGGTCTTGCTGACTGCAGTGGAAAGCTGATTGTTGCGCGGTTTTACCTAAATCACCATACACAGAATGCAGCCATTCATCTCAACCGGGAAAAAACCATGTTCATAGCCAAAGTTAACTTATAGGTATCATCTAGTCCCTTGGCCAACCCAATGATCCAGTGGGCTTGGTCACCAAAGTGCCATTCAATGGGATCATAAGGTACTGCAGCCAAATCGGCCATAGTCTGGAACGAGATCATCAAAACCTTCGTGTGTATTCTCAACATCCAACATACCCCTACACCCAGCTTTTGTTGTATAGAATTACCAAGCTTCCCTCCCAACATTCGATTATCTCCAATGCGAGTTTCTTCGAAGAGGACTGGTACGAATTCAAACGGAATTACAGTCTGTTGACGAGGCTTGTGTCGTGCACGCAATAGTTTGGCAAGCATCTAAATTTTTTTGTAGTTTTCGGACAGTCAAATAAGAACAAAAACTTGAAACGTCAGTAACGAACACTTTACAATTGACTCAAAATTAAGTAAGTACAAAAACGGACATAGCATGAACAGACGTTAAAAACATGCACTAGACTACTACAGACTCGAGATTTGGCTACAACTAAACATTTTGACAATTGACAGTTTTGTTTCAGATAAAGCCACGCGATTCCATGTTATTCGTACTGGAATTGAAGAAGAATGAAGAATAGCAAAGATGACTGAATATAATAGAGAAGATGAGTGACTGACGCGAGAGAACGCTGAATATAGGACCCAGCGGGTAGAGGACTATATGTCGCCGAAAAAGGGCGGTCCCCGCGGTCATTTGCGACAAATACCCACCCTTGTACGTGCGCGGACATGCGTTCCTGAAGGAAATCCGCGCTGGACTCCCTCACATTCGGCGACATATAGTCCTCCACCCGGACCCAGCGACGCCGTTATCGATTGGAGCGCGCTTTCCTCCTTGGAAAACGGGGCTGCCGAAGCTATTTTTGGCTCTAGCAATGAGGAGAGGGGGAGGTCTGAAACCAAAATGTCAATATATACTAACCTTTAGGTGTAGAGTAGATTTACGTAAAAATTTTGAAAAAAATTATGTGAATTGAGTATTGCCCACCTTAGGTGGGCATTAGATGGGCAATTGCCCATGTAATTTGGAAATTAATTAAGCACGCTCTTCATTCACATAGGTTTTTCATAATTTTTCATACTTTGTTACTTAGCCCTACTGCGCATATACACACCAAATCTCGCGCGATTTCACCTCTGCATTGCAAACGAGCCATTCTTTCGTTTCTTTGGTAGCGGGAAATTTTCAGAAAAAAGTTTGCCACAACCTTCAGTCCCATAATTTTACAATGAAACTCCTAATTTGACTCCCACAGGCTTATGTCCACGTACATACCAAGTCTGATACCATGTCGTCGTCTGCGCGTTGCAAACGAGCCATTTGAATTCACATCTTCAATTAATAATTTTGCAAAAATTTCGGAAAAAATGCTTATTACTCGTTCCGTTCGCATAAGTTTTTCATAAATCTTCATACTTTGTTTCCATTAGCCTCTCTCCGTTCGCTTACAAAATTTGGCGTCATATCGTTGCGCATACGTTGAGAGGTAGCCATGTATGCTGTTACAAATAGCATCGTTTGAGCGAAGTCGCGCGTGCGGCAATTGGCGACGGCGCGGTTTGAGTTTGACGCGCGCGAACTTCAGTGTTCGCCTGTTGAAACACATAACATGTTAAGATAAGCAGAGGGCATAAACTAGCAATTTTTTCCAAGGCTCCGCCCCGGACCCCGCGAAAACGGTATCCCCTTTGCTTTTTTTGCCGAAAACGAATCCCAGCTTGTCATTTGACAACCTCGTGCCAGGCCCTGTTTGCAATCGTTCACTATTTCTACGCTTTGGTCCGAACAAAATAATCTCGCTTAGACAGTAGACTGGTGCCTGTACGATGGCATTCTTATATCGTAAAAAGACCGATTGTAGGAAGGAGACAGTCGCAGATTCAGTGATGGACCTTGTGCAGCCCAATCCGGAACGTGGAGAATATATAGGGTGTCCCAAAGTAAGTACATTTTCAATCGTTAATATCTCTCTTCCCATCGTATCTTTTTCCGCCATTCAAGTACCCTTCTGTAAAGGAGGCTTCAACTTAGATCTACAGTATCGAGCGAATTACCGATCGCTCTTCATTACTGTAGGATTATGTAAAAACTTCGACAAAGATTTTGAGCCATTGGAAGCCATATTCTGCCTCGGAACAAAACCAAACAAGCCAAAAACTCTAACACTAGGGTAATGGAAACCGCTGATTTCAAGTATGAAATCCGCTTTACTGTGATGCTTCTTTCCAAAGTTTATCCCAAATTAACCGTAATAACGAACTCCCACTATTAGTCTGAAATGTGATTTCACCGTCAAAAAAAGCTGAAAACTCGTAAAAAGTTGTATAATGGAATCAGCGTGCAAATCTTAGTACACGATTTTTCAGATTTTTTGAAAAAGTTTTGTCAGATGGCATATTTCACAATGATCCACGTGCTGGAAGTTCTTACCGTAATCCTACAGTAACGAAGAGCGATCGGTGATTCTATCGAAAATTTAAATCTAAGTTGAAGCCTCCTCTACACAATGACACTTGACTGGCCAAAAAAGACCCACTGGGAAGAGAGATATTGACGATTGAAAAGTGTGTACTTACTTTTGGGACACCCTCTATTTGTTTGAGGCGAATATTGCTGGGTATGTTTTCATTTATTTCTCATTTCATCACTTCGGTAATGGCGTTCTTTATTCAAAAAAAAATACATCGAACCGTTTACCATACATTAGACGCAATCGAAACAAAGATTTTACCTGAAGTTCAGAAAAGTCGTTGTATGGTTCGACTTTAGCTCCCCTTGAGAGTGTAGTGATCTAGCATGCATGGATAGCTGTTACTCGATTGCAGATATAGAATTTAGATCATTTCAGCCTAAATATTATAGATGGGTCGGATGCCACTGGTTTAATTAGAGTTAGGATCGTATGCACGTACATCCCCGCTGGGGAGGAGAGGGGATCTGGCAAGGGAACGATCCCAACTTAAGGTGGCGAATTGGAATGAACCGCATATCATTAGATGCGTCTTGATAAGCTGATTCCAAATCTACCTTCCATATCTGCGACAACGTTATCTGGAAGAAGTTATGAAAGGTTAAAAATGTGAAGTAACGGAGGTTTTAGTGCATAATTCGCTTCAAAATCCAACTTGGGAGTGTAGGACTAGCATGATACTGAGTGTACTGATTTCAAGGAATGCTCACACTCTAAAGAAACACAAATAAGTGTTTTTAAACAACTAATTTTCGAGGTATTGCGCTGTATATTTGCCAGATTTGGACTTTTCATTGCTCACAGCTTTTACCAAAGAACTTTAGTTACTTTTTAGTTGTTCAAAAGCACTTATTTGTGTTTCTTTAGAATGTGAGCATTCCTTGAAATCAGTAGACTCAATATCATGCTAGTCGTGCACTTCCAAGTTGGATTCTAAAGCACATTATGCATCAAAACCCCCGTTACTTCACATTTTTAACCTTTCATAACTTCTTCCAGATAACGTTGTCGCAGATTTGGAAGGTAGATTTGAAATCAGCTCATCAAGACGCATCTAATGGTGTGCGGTTTATTCCAATTCGCCACCTTAATTTGGGATCGTTCCCTTGTGAGAGGGGATGCGTCATATCTCGCTACTCTACCTATCTTTCTTCTTCCTTCTCTATCTTGCTTACGAAATTCTTCACTTATACCTACGCATAATGGATGCCAGGTTACTTCCATACAAGATTAGTTTTTTGCCATTTTATGTGATCCCTGGGGATCCTCAGGAGATCTCCAGGGGTTCACCCTCATTTTCAAAGTGATTTATTTTTCTGAGAAGTCAATGAAAACGCCGCAAAATGGTAATAAAGATATACTACGGCACTGCTACGCATATTTTCGGCAGGAGAAATGGAATCTGAAGATTGCGAATTTTCCGATGATCCCTAGCTTTCGAGCCAGGGATTACCGAAGATTTCGATATTCTCAGATTTCACTTATTTCTACTATAAACATCTTTAGCAGTGCTGTAGTATATCCACAGTACAATTTTACAGCGTTTTCATCGAGTTTTCAGCAAGATAAACGGCATTGAAATTGAGAAGTGAAACCCTTGGGGATCTCCTGGGGATCACACAAAATAGTAAAAATCTGATCAATTATGCCAGTAACCTGGCATCAATTATGCGCAAGTATTAGGGTATGAAAACCTTCATAAGCAAGATAGAGAAGGAAGAAGAAAGATAACTAGAGTAGCGAGATATGACGCATCCCCTCTCAGATCCCCTCCTCTCCCCAGCGGGGATGTACGTGCATACGGGCCTTAGATTCTCCTTTGAAAAATACCCCATTTTCAGGTGTATAACGAGTACCTCAATTAGGCACCGCCTCCGCGAACTGTTGGTTCTTGCGCGCTCTACTACTGTACATGTGCGAGGACCAGTCCGTGGAGGCGATGCCTAATTGAGCTATTCGTTCCTCTATCCAAGCCAAAAGGTTCCAGAATTTGCCGTAGGGCACGTTTAAACGAGCGACCGTTTGGCGAGGCGCACGCGTAGCGGTGTTAAAGTAAACTGGGTTCTGCTTGCTTGTCTGGAAATAGGGTACCCTATTTTCAGATGTATAAGCCGCACTTTTTCAAATTTTCGCCCGGGCTACTCAGCCGCTTCATTGTGTTTCGAGAAGCGATCCTTATCCCGTACGACTCTTTCAGGCAATACACAGCATGGCGTAGGGTCCTTTGGTTGCGGGGTCCTTTGATGTATTCGGGCTGGTCGGTTTAAGCTAGGACCACCCCGCGGCTTATACACCTGAAAATAGGGTAGTATAAATCAGCCATGTGATTGATGATCTTGAGCTCACTTAAGTCTTTCCAACTATACATATGACGATTTTTGCGAATGCATATTGCTGATGCATCCACTCTCAAAGACTAGTCCCATTTAACAAAAAAGCCAATGCTCCAAAACACCTAGCTAATTCGCGAATCAAGCCTTGCTAATGTCAGGAGCCGGCTTACCTATGTGCATATAATATGCGATGTATTATATTTATTTGTATTATATTTTGCAACGGGATGATGGAAGACAAAAACGTCAGCAACTAGAATCTTCGGGTATTTTTAAGCACCACCGGAAGCCTGGTTGCCTTTAGTAATTCAGCGTGTTGTCTTTGACTATATTTTGATTTGCTTGGACAATCACTTTGACAAAGATTCGATCCACAAAATGCTTCGAGACCTCAACCCCGCCCTGAGAACTGATTTTAGGTATCTTATCCCATTGTTAGAATAAACACAAAAAGCCTCAAATGACAAGAAACGGGTTGACTTCTGGTCTAATCAATGTTGAGAGGCATTTTTTT